ATCATTTTTTTCTTTAGTAGATTATGCTTTTGATGTTGTATCTAAAACTCATCACACCCAGGGTCACCTGGATTTTCTCCTGTGATTTCTTCTAGAAGTTTAGTAGTTTTTCATTTTACATTTAGAGTTAATTTTTGTGAAAGATGTAAAATGTCTCTAGATTCATGGTTTTGCACATAGATGTCCTATTGTTCCAAGCACTGTTTGTTGAAAAGACTATCCTTTCTTGAATTGCCTTTGCTCCTTCATCAAAGATCAGTTGACTATATTTTTGGGCGTTTCTGGGCTCTATATTCTGTTCTGTTGGTCTATGTGTCTGTTCTTTTACCAGTACCACACTATCTTGGTTATTCTTAAGCTTTATAGTAAGTCTTAAAGTCAGGTAGTGTGAGTCCTCTAACTTGGCTGGTCTGACTCTTTTGCCTTTTTGTATAAACTTTAGAATCAGTTTTTTGATATCTACAGAATAGCTTGCTGAGATTTTGATTGGGATTGCATTGAATGTATGGATCAACTCGGGAAAAATTGATACCTTAACAATATTGAGTTTTCTAATCTACAAATACAATACTTCTCCATTTATCTTGATCTTTCTTGATTTCTTTCATCAGAGTTTTATAATTTTTCATACCTGGATACTGTACATGTTTGGTTAAATTTATACCTAAATATTACATTTTTGGGGTGCTATTGTAAATAGTGTTGTATATTTAATTTTAAATTTCAGTTGTTCATTGATGGTATATATATAGGAAAGTAGTTACTTTTATATATTAACCTTGTATCCTATTAGCTTGCTATAGTCACTTTTCAGTTCCAAGAATTTTTTGGTTGATTCTTTGTGATTTTCCACTTGGATAATCATGTCATAGGTGAGTGCTGTACTTTTTATGATATGGTGATTAGTATTTTCAACAAACTATTTGATCTTTTTTTTCCGAAGTAGGTTAGCAGTCCATGGGTAAGTATTTTATAGAATGAACCAAAGAAATAATATGCTTATAACTTAAATAAGATTTGTGTTTATTGTTTAATATTTTTACATGATTCCAGTCATCTGCTTTTGATTTGATTTAGAAAAAGAAACAAAATTATGTAGTAATTCATTCATTAGGTATTTATTGAGCATCTAGTATATGCCAGGCATTGTTAGGTCCTAGATATATAAATGTAGCTAAAATCTTTTCAAGGCTTACACACTTATGGGGAGTAGGCAAACATATAAACAGATCAATCTTACTACAGTGATATGTGTACAGAAGTGTTATGGGAACACAGAAGAATATTTCAATTACCCTGGAGTATCAGTATGAAGGAAGGTTTTCTGGAAGAACTATGTCTTGTGCTACAGTTTAATGGTAGAATAGGATACATTTCAGTATTTAGGAGATAGAGGACAACATGGTTTATTCTTGGAACTACAAGTTGTCTGAAGTGGATGGACTTCATACATCAGGAGTGTAAAGACTTTATACATCAGAGCTGAGAATTAGCTCTTCCATTTATATGTTTAAATGGGGGGAAAGAAGATGTAATAGTATTCATTCATAACAAACTATAGTAAAATTTAGCAGCTAAGACCACAGTCACTTGTTCATGTTATGATTCTGTGGGTAGAGGCAATTTGGGCTGGTTTCAACTGTGCTGTGTCTATGCCTGTAGTTAGCTGCTGGATCAGCTGGCATCTGGTCTAGGGTGGTCTCAGCTGGGATGGCTCATTCTGTTTTGTGTGGTTTCTTATCTTCCAGTTGGCTAGGCTCATTCCAAGAGAATGAGCAGAAGTACACCAGGCCTCTTGAGGCATAGACTTGGTACTGACCACCATCACTTCCACCATATTCTTTTGGTCCTTGTGAGTCATAAGGCCAGATCTCAATTCCACCTCTTGAAGGGAGGAGCTGCACAGTAATATTGTAAAGGGTGTTGGTATGTGCAGGACTGAATAACTTGATGCATTTGTGCAATCGATCTATTTCAGAAGACTTTCAAAATTTTTATTTACACTCTCTTAAAATGCTATAATGAAGATATCTTTGTCTTATGCGATCTCATCTAATTTCATGACTATCTACCATTTATATACTTCTGGCAAATTTATATGTTAAATCTCTCCCAGAATTCATAGATTCATTTACTTAACCTACTTTTCCACTTGAATATCTAATATCGTATTTCCCCGAAAATTAGACAGGGTCTTATATTTATTTTTCCTAAAGAAGACACCCTAGGGCTTACTTTCAGGGGATGTGTTATTTTTTTTTAAGTACAGTACAACAATCTACATTTAATACATACACTAGATGCTCTATATTCAAATATAGTTAAGTCATCTTCTTCTGGAACATCATCATAACTCTCCAAACCCCAAATTCCATCCTGAGTTTCTTGCAGCTCTATTTCCTTTAAGAACCATTGGCCCCAATCTCTCATGTTGAGCAATAGAGCTTTCATGGGGCAGATGAGAAGGGCTGCTCATCTTCTTTACCGCTTCATGACAAAACGCATGGGTTGTGCAGATATGCTGCGTAGCCACATCCATCACTAAGTCTTATTTTCGGGGTAGGGCTTATATTGAACAAATGTTTAGAAATCCTGCTAGGGCTTATTTTATGGGTAGGTCTTATATTCTGGGAAACACGATAGATACCTCAAACTGAATGTTTAATCCCCACCTCCACCTTTACCCTCAGCTAACACCTACTCTTCTTATAGTCTTCCTCTTTTAATACATGTCTCCTTGATCCTCCAGTTGCTTAGATTAGAAATTGGGGTAACCCTTGAATTCATTCTTTCCCTCATATCTCACTTACTGTACATCTCTAAATCCTGTTGGCTATATTTCAAAACATTCCTGTCTGATCATATCTCATAATCTTTATTTCTACCACCCTGGCTCAAGTCATCATCATCTATTACTGGATTCTTGTAATAGTTTCCTAATGAATCTTCCTGCTTCTTGTCCCCTTCTATGTACAGTAGCCCAGAGTGATCTTTTAAAATTTATGTCAATATTACTCAGATCTGGCTTTCAGACAAAAATCAGACTCCTTATTGTGGCTCACAAGGCCATACGGGCCCAGTTCTCTCTCTGACCTCATATCTCCCACCCTTCCTCTCAGCTTAGCTACACTGGCTGCCTATCAAGAAACACACCTGGTATGCTCCTTGCTCACATGCTTTATCCTCTGCCTGTAGGATTTCCTGCGTACACCTTCTCTCCTTCAGATATTATCTTAAATGCCATCCCAGTGGGTGACTCTGAAGTGGGGCTCCCTAAACTTCTCTTTGGACACTATCTATACTCTTTTCCTGCTTTATTTTCTTAGAATTCTCATCTGACATGCTATTATTTTACTTGTTTATTTGTTTCTCCTCCTATGTCTTAGTTTGGGCTGCTGTAACATAAATACCATAGACTGGGTGGTTTATCAACAACAGAAAGTTATTTCTCACAGTTCTGAAGCCTGGGAAGTCCAAGATCAAGGCATTAGCAGATTCAGTGACTGGTGAGGGCCATGTCCTAGTTCATAAATAGCCATTTTCTTGCTGTGTCCTCACATGGTGGAAGGGACAAGCAAGCTCTCTGGGGTCTCTTTTGTAAGGGAAGTAATCTCATTCATAAGGCCCTTGCTCTCATGGTCTAATCACTTCCCAAAGTCCTTACTTCCACATATCATCACATTGGATGTTAGGATTTAACATATAAATATTGGGAGAACACAGACATTCTGTCTGTAGCACTCCAAAAAGCTTCTGGGTAGAGATTTGTGTCCTTGCTCATTGTTGATTCTCTAGGATGCAGCAAAGTTTCTGGCATATAATAGACCCTCAGTAATTATTGATAAATAAATAAATTGCTCTGCTCTGTCAAATAAAAAGAAATTATTGCTTTTTTGTATTGTGATTTATTTAGATATTAATTTATTGATTTTATTTTCTCTTTTGTCTATATTTGGGAAAAATTATTTTCCATATCCATTTTAAGTGATTTTTATGTTTATAGTACTTTTAAAATTGATTTTATTGCATGTTATCTGACCTATTGAGTGACACTGGTACCTGGCTCTTTATCTCAGCAATCATGTAAGGAGTTTGGTTATACCTTTCAATATTTCAGTTTCTAGGTTTTATAAGTTGCCTACTGATATTCCCTTAACTCTTAAAATCTTTATTTCTTTTTCTTTTCTTTTCTTTTAATGAATGTGGTTGTGATTTTACTGTAAATTGAGGCAGATACCCATCTCCTACTTTGTTGTTTCTCAGCAAAGTCTTAAAAACTTGCATTGTTTTATAAAATAAATAAATAATGTTCTGCCATGCAAAATATTTCTAGTTAAAAACCTAATGAAATATAGTAGAAAATAAGATCAAGCCTCTTTGCAGAATATTATTTATGCTCCGCATGAAACCTTTTTGTTCACTGCATACATTTTAGTTAGCCTTTTTTTTTGGTTAAAGACAGTTTGTGTAAAATGGAAAAATAGCACCAGCTTTTATGTGTATACAAATAAACAGAGCAATAAAGTCATTCTGAGGTCCTTTCCTTTCCTCCTTAGCTGTGTTAATTCTCTTAGCTAATGAGAGAAGGAATGCCTGATTAATAGGCATCATCAGTTGGACTACTCTACCATTACCAGGCCATGTGCCTTTTTATTCTTGTGAAAATTGTGTTGTTTCAAAGGTTTTCAAAAAATAGAGCTCCTTCACATTAAGGATAAAGTATCATTCATTCTGTCCTTCCTTGGCTGATCTTAATCTTTGATGAATAACAGTGAAAATTGAGACTTGTACTCTAACTTTCCAGTTTATTAAAAGCCATCCTATGGCTTTTTATAATATTTTAAATATTAAATGTCTTTAAAAATATTAAAATCAAAAAACATTTTTATAAGTGTTATTAAATATTAAATAAATAGTTAATTTTTTCCTAGTAGGAGCTCATCTGTTACAACCAAGACTCAATAGTAATAACATTTCACCTTTGAATTTTTTTCCCTTAGGTTTATCTATGTTTACCCAACTTCCGATCTCTTACTGAGGGGCACTGCCTGATAGTCCCTTTGCAGCACCACAAAGCAGCTACTTTACTGGACGAAGATATCTGGGAGGAAATTCAGGTCAGCCTGATAGTGTTCGTTATCATTATAGAGCTCGCAAGCAGTTGTCTCAAGCTATTGTGATAAATTCCAGCCAATTTTATACTTTCATTCAATGATTTTAGTTTCTGAACTTAAACACTTATGTTTTCATAGTTGTGGATCATAATGTTTCTATCATTTTATTTTATTTTCCTTATGTACTCCAGATTTTGAAAACTTTTGTCTACTAAATAAACTGTGACAAGGCAATAATTATTTTTACTTAAAAAATCAGTCTTAAGATTTCTACAGTGTTTTGTGTAGTATGAGAGAGTCATTTTTATCACAGTAAGCTAATAAATTTCAGCCAAAAGGAAAGAGATTTTCAGATAATAAAAAGAAATTTTATGAGTCAGAGGTTTATATTCAGCAGTTGCCATATTTTCCAGTAATGGAATTGGCCTTCTCTGCTGCTGTGCTTTTGTGGTGATTTTGTTACTGTCTTTAATTTCTGCTTTTTTTCCTTCACAACCTGGCCCAACTTTTGGATTCAGGGATTTGTTTTTGTTACTGATTTCTTTGACAGAGTGAAAGGCACAACATGAGAGAAATTGTTGCTAAATTATTTCAAGACCAAATAATGACCACGAAAGAAAGAAAACTCTTGTTTTTTTGTAATGCCAGAGAACTGAATAAGGATTATAGGGAGCCCTATTTAGAAATTGTGAAAATTGTAAGTCATAACTTCAAAAGAGACTATATATACCAGTCTTTGCAGCATGCTGATAAAGATGTCAGAAGGGGAGATATTTTGATGGCATTTCATGAAATTTGGTCCCTTGCACCCAGTGCTTTTTAAGTTTATGCTGTGAAAGTTAGAAGGCGGATTGTTTCATTGCATTCATGGCCAAGAATGGCCATGAAGTAATGGTAAGAATGTGGACAAGTATTTTTCATGTGAACCTTTGGTTTTCCCTAGTAGTAGATACCAGTATCAGTAGGTAATTTAAGGTGGAAAGTACGGAAATTTGGTTTTCAGAACTATTTTAGAACTTTTCTGCAATGCCTTTTCAAAATTTATACATATAAAACACTGATTTAACTTAGAACAAATTAGAGTGCCAAAAATATTTTAAGTAATTATAAGAATCTAGTGTGTATGTTTTATATTTCTATAAGCAATTAAGCTACTTGGTGAAAAAACATTGAAGTGGATAAAGAAAAAATTTATTCAGTTTGACAGATATTGAGTACATGAATCTGATGTTTTAGTTGCTGTGAGAAATGCAGAGATAAAATCATTCATTAATTCTGCCAAAAGGTGTGGTATGTTCTAGTGCAGGTTATATTACATAGTAGTTTAGAAGATTTTGTGGAAAACTGAAAGAGGGAGGAAAAGCTAAATTGTTTTATGCAAATAATGGCATTATAACCCCTTTTGTATGATAAAAGAAAAAACTTGTTAGAAGTTATAAATTACTGTATGATAGTAAGTAATGAAATATCTAACTCCCAGCTTAAGTTTTATTTTTTTTTTTAACTTCCAAATATGTACAACAACTCAAATTAATTCTATTCTGGTGATTATTCACCTCCTTTATTGGGTATATAAAAAAATTGATTTGATGTAGCACAAAATATTGTTTGCAAATACAGGAGCCATTTATTTCAAGTGGTTTTTATCACCATTATCTGGTAATACTTAAAGTAAATTTTAGACCTTCTATTTAATAGAAAATGCAAAGGTAGGTTTCAGTAGAACACACTTGAATTATGACAAATTTCAAATGAGTAAGATCCAAATTATTAGTTTTGTTAAATATACAGTGAAACTTAGTTCTCTTTAAATTTATTCTTAACACTTTGACAAATTTTCTTGAACATATGCTATAGTCAGACACTGCAGGAGAGGGAGGGAGGAGCGTCCTTGATGCTTGTCTACAGTGGGCTTCACTGTGGAGCGATGTGTTGGGGCCATTTCACTGGGAAACATCCAGGGTTTGTACTTTTAGGTCCTTTTCTTGGAGCAAGACAGGCCCTCCATTAAACACTCTTTGAATATCCTGCCTAGGCCATCTTAATCTACTTGCCAGTGTTCTGGAAGCTGAGCAGGGGAAGAAAGATAGGAGTGGCAGAATGTTGAACATTTAAGAACATTAAGTAGCCTTTCCTATAACACCCCTGTTTTCAGACTGTACACTCTCAACTGTGTCTGGGTTTCCCAGCTCAGCTACCTTGTTTTACCTTTTCCAGAGGATAATCCTGTAGTGTTCTGCTGATGAGGAGGGGATCTGGCATGCTAATTGCTTTTTCAAAAGGCTTTCATCTAAGTCATCTGTTTTTAGCTACACTTTCACCTCTACTTCCATAAGTAATTCCTGAGCATTCTGGGGGTTCTGCAGTACAGCATGGGTTTCATTTTTGCAGCCCCTGCTACCCCTTTTCCTCCTCAAGGTATGAATCAACTTTCTAGCATTTAAGTAAGATATTATGCAGTGATCTGATTTTCATTGTCTTCTCTCATTCTTTCTGTTCAAGTAATTTATGCTTTTTCAAAAATTGTTTTAACGTCATTATTCTACTTGAATGAAAAAGATAATCAATAGATCCCAACACCAAGATAACAAAGTTGTTATAATTATCTGACACAGATTTTAAAACAGCCATCATAAAAATGCCCAAAAAGCGATTAGCAATACACTGTAAAGAAAATACAATTTGACTGACAGCATATTTCTCACCAGAAACCATGTAGGTGAGAAGGAAGTTGCACAGTATTTTTCATGTAATAAAGGAAAAGAACTGTCAACCCAGAATTCTATATCCATTGAAAATACCCTTTAGGAATCAAGGAAAAATTCAAGACATTATCACATGATTTTATATTATATATATAATATATATATTTGTGTGTGTATATAATCAGATAAATAAGTAAATAAATTAATTTATTTATTTATTTCTATTTATTTTGAGACAAAGTCTCACTCTATTGCCTGGGCTAGAGTGCTGTGGCTTCAGCCTAGCTCACAAGCAACCTCAAACTCCTGGGCTCAAGCAATCCTTCTGCCTCAGCCTCCTGAGTAGCTGGGACTATAGGCATGCACCACCATGCCTGGCTAATTTTTTCTATATATTTTTAGTTGGCCAATTAATTTCTTTATATTTTTAGTAGAGATGGGGTCTCACTCTTGCTCAGGCTGGTTTTGAACTCCTGACCTTGAATGATCCACTCTCGTGGACCTCCCAGAGTGCTAGGATTACAGGCATAAGCCACTGCATCCAGCTGGCTAATTTCATATATATAAATGTAAGGCCTGGAACAACTACTTAGAGTCACTTAAAAAACTGTACAAATTGACAAACTGAAAAATACTATAGATAAATCAAAATGGATTTCTAAAAATGTTCAAGTAATCATAAGAAGACAGAAAACAAAAAGAGAAAGAACAAATGAAAAATAAAAACAAAATATCTCTACTATATCAATAACTATGTTAAATTACAAACAGTTATGAGCATATCTGTACTTAAAAGATAGAGAGTATTGCATACCCCAGCTATATACTGTCTACAAGAAACTCATTTCAAATATAATATCACAAGTAGAATAATGTAAAAGGATGGGAAAATATACATCATGCATACATTAATCAAAAGAAGCGTAAGTGGCTATGTTTTACCAGATAAAGTAGACTTCAGAGCAGAGAAAACCACCAAAGTAGGAGGGACATTACATAATGATGAAGGTGGTCAGTCCACCCAAAAGACATAGCAGTCCTAAATGTGTGTGTACCAACATAGAGGTACAAAATATGTGAAGCAAAAACTGATAGAATTGAAAGGAGAAATAGACAAATTCATAAATATAGTTGGGGACTTCAATACCCCCCTTTTAGCAATTGATAGACCAGCCAGACTGAAAACCAGCAAGGATATATAAGAACTTAAAAACACCATTGTACTAGTTTCCTATTGCTCCTGTAACTAATTGCCACAGAGTTGGTGGCTTAAAACAACAGAAGTGTATTGTCTTACAATTCTGGAGATCAGAATTCCAAATGAGTATTACAGGGCTAAAATCAAAGTTTTGGCAGGACTGGTTCCTTCTGGAGACTCTGGGAGAGAATCCATTCCTTGCCTCTTCTGGTTTCTTATGACTGTTGGCATTTCTTGGCTTATGGCTACATCATTCTGATCTCTGCTTCTGTCATCACAATGCCATCTCCTCTTCTCTAGTGAAAACTCCCTCTGCCTGCCTCTTATAAGGAAGCTTTTTCTTACATTTAGGATATACTCAGGTAATCCAGGATAATCTCCCTATCTCAAGATTCTTAATTATATCTGAAAAGTCCCTTGTGCCATATATGGCAGTATTGATGGGTTCTAGGGATTAGGACCTGGATATCTTTTAGGGCCATTATTCAGCCCACTGTAACCATCAATCAGAATCTAATTAGTATTCATAGAACACTCCACCCAACAATATTAGAAAACACATTTTTTTCCAGAACACATATTAAGATAGCTTAATCTGCCATAAAAAGGACCTCAGTAAATTAAAAATAATTGAAGCCATATGGTGTATTTTCTGGCCACAGTGGAATCAAACTAAAATCAATAACAGAAAATAATAGGAAATTTTCTAAATACTTAGAAATTAAATATACTTCAACAGACTTCAAAGATAAGTTTCAAGGGAAATTTTAAAAAATACTGAATTAAGATGAAATGACATGTTAAAATTTGTGAGACATGGCTAAAGGAGTATTGAGAGAAAAATGTATAGCACTAAATACTTTCATTAAAAAAAAGGAAAAATCTTGCCTCAAGAACCTAGAAAAAGAAGCGCAAAGTAAACCCAAAGTAAGCCAAAGAATGGAAATCAATGAAATTGAAAACAGAAAAATCATAGAGAAAATCAATGAAACAAAAAGATGGGGTTTAAAAAAAAGATAAATAAAACTAACAAACTTCCAGTAAGACTGATAAAGAAAAGAAGTGAGAAGGCACAAGTTACCAGTATTAGGAATGAAATACGGTATCACTATAGACTTTGTAGACATCAAAGGATAATAAGGGAATAAATATGAAAAACTCTGTACAAATAAGTTTGACAACTTAGATATAATGTACCAGTTCCTTAAAATTCACTGACTGTTATAACTTGCCCAATATGAAATAGACAATTTGAACAACATTATAACTATTAAGGAACTAGAATTCATAGTTTAACACATTGACTGCCATGTGAGTTGTATTTCACTCAGGCTAGTTTTGAGCCCAGGGCCTCATGAAGCAAAACCCTGCAGATGATTGTGAAAATCTTACTTGTTGATGTTCTTACTGTTATAATTAATGCCGTCATTTAATTCTAAAAATGTGGATTGCATTGCATATAACTCATGCACAGAAAACAATAACAAATTAGAAAGTATCATTTTGTTTTAATAAAACACCGTAGCCCCAGGGTAAAATAATTTTTTTCTAGTGTGGCAGTCAGTGTGTTAAAACTTCCCCCAAAAATGTCTCCAAGCACAGATGGTTTCACTGGAGCATTTTACCAAACTTTTAAAGAATTGATGCCAATCCTATATAATCTCTTCTAGAAAACAGAATAGGAAGGAACACTTCCTAATCATTTTATAAAATATTATCCTGCTACCACAAGACAGTTAAAAAAAAATTAAACAAGAAAATATGGCTCAATGTTCCTCATGAATATAGATGCAAAAATTCTTAACAAAATATAAACAGATGGAGTTTGGCAATATATAAAAAGAATTACATGCTATGACCAAGTGGGGCTTATACTGATTATGTAAGACAGGTTCAATGTTGGAAAATTAATTAATCCACCATGATCATATCAATCAATAAAGTAAAAGCACTTGACAAAATTCATACCCATTTATGATAAAAACTCTCAGAATCAACATAAAAACTTTGAGAACAAAGGTTAAAAACTGCCTGTATATAGCTTATCTATCACACGTATCTTCTCCATAAGGCACATCACAATCTTGTGCTTAGGAAAACTAATCATCCTTCAGTACTATGCCTGGGGACAAAAGGGAAATGAACAACAAGAAAGCACAAGTATGTGGAAATATGACACTAAATAGACCATGAGAAGGACACTTGTTTATAGTAAAAAAACTGAAACAAGATAGACCATCGCTTTGTTCAACCTCAGTTGGGAATGTATATGCTGAGTTTCTCAAATTTTCACTGCTCTGTATGTGTCTGGGAATGATCTAAAAAATGCCATGAGAATTGATTTTGTGGTTGCAAATTAATTTTAGTAATAAGGCAAATTTGCCAATATGGAATCCACAAATATGAGGATGCACTATACTTAGGTGGAAGTCTAACAAAAGATGTCCAGAATTTATATGCCAAAAACTACAAAACACTGATGAAAGAAATTTTAAAAGATCAAAATAAATGTAGAGACACCATGTTCATGGATTAGGAGAGTTGACGTAGTAAAGATGACAGTTTCATGAAATTCATGTACTAGTTTAACACCTTTTTTATCCAAATCCCAGCAAGATTTTTTGTAGGTATGGAGAATATTCTTCTAAATTTTATGTGGGGAAGTCAAAGGAATGGAAAAAACAATATTGAAAAAGAAGAATAAACTGATAGGAAGCAGTCTTACTTACCTGACTGTAAGACTTTATTATATAGCTACAGTAAGCAAGATTCTTTGGTACTGATGGCAGGAATAGACATCTAGATCAGTGGAACAGAATTCAGTTCAATAGCGGTCCCAGAAATAGACCAAACCAAATATTCTCAACTGAATTTGACAAAGCTGTGAAATCAATTCAACAGAGAATGGATAGCCTTTTTTATGAATGATGCTGAAGCCATCGAACATGATAGGTAAAACAAACCTGAGCATCAGCTTAAATTTCACGCTGTATACAAATATTAGCTCAAAATGGAACACAAACTTTCATGTAAAGTGTAAGACAATAAAACTTTTAGAAAAAAATAAGGTAAAATCTTCACAGTCTTGGGTATATAGAGAGTTCTTAGATTTAACACTAGAAGTATAATCTACAGAAACAAAAATTGATAAACTCAGCTTTGGGAAATTAAAAACTTTTGTTTTTCAAAAGACCCCAATATGAGGATGAAAAAACAAATTATAGACTGGAAGAAGATATTTGCAAACCATGTATCTGACAAAGAAATTATATCCAGAATGTATAAATAATATATAAAAATCTAGAATGTCAGAACTTAACAGTAAAAAACAATCCAATTAGAAAATGGATAAAAGACGTGAAGAGATGTTTCACTGAAGAAGATACAGAGATGGCAAATAAGCATATAAAAAGGATATTTAATGTCATTAACTATTAAGAAATGCAAATTAATACCACAATGATAAATCATTATATATCTATCAAAATGGAAAATAAAAAATATTGACAACACCAAATACTGGTGAGGATGTGGAAAAACAGAGTTGCTCCTACATTGCTGGTGGAAATGTATTAATAAAACAGTATAGCCACTTTGGAAAAGAGATCAGCAGTTTCTTAAAATGTGAAATATGCAACTACCTTGGGACTCAACTGTTACAGTCCTTGGCATTATTCTAGAGAAATGGAGTTATGTTCACACAAAAACTTTTGTGCATATGTTCATAGCAGCTTCATTTGTAATAGCCCCAAACTGGAAATACCCCAGATATCCTGTAAAGATGAATGGTTAAACATATTTTGGTACATCCATGTCAGGAACACTATTCAACAATAAAAAAGAATGAACTATTGATACATGTAGTAACTTGTATGGCTCTCCAGGGAATTATGCTGATTGAAAAAACACCCCCCCTCAGTTACATGATTCACTTTATATAACATTCTTGAAATGACAAAATTAAAGAAAGGGAGAGCATATTAGCAGTTGCTAGGGGTTGTGGTTGGGAGGAAGTATGTGATCAGCTAGGGTGTGAAGTGACTGTGTCTATAAAAGGGTAACAAGAGCCTGGCACAGTGGTGTGCCACAGTACACACCTGTAGTCCCAGCTACTCAGGAGGCTGAGGCAGGAGGATTGCTTTGGCTCAGGCTGTAGGGCACTGATTGCAACTGTGAATAGGTGCTTTACTTCAGCCTGGATAACATAGTGAGATCCTGTCTCTAAAAAGAAGTCAAAGAGTAACAGGAAAGGTCTTTGTGGGTGGTGGTGGAATTACTCTGAATCTTAAGTGTATCATTGTCAATATCCTGGTTATACTATAGTTTTATAAAATGTTACCTTTGGGGGAAACTGATTTCCTATAACTGCCTGTGATCTAAAATTACCTTAAAATGAAAGAAGTTTAATTAAAATATTAAAAAGTTATAAATCAAGCTGACAAATCTAAATAAAATGTGTTTCTCCTTCTACTTAGACAAATCTACTTGCGTAACACCTTACAAGGCCAAATTTGTATTTAGAATTCTCAGAAATTCTCTGGCTCCCAGCCTGTACCCTGCTCCTTTCTCTTTCTACCCTTAGCTCCACCTGTACTACAAGGGTGCCATGTGAATGCATGCAAACATCCTGGACCATTCAGTTCCATTCAGCCGCCTTCTACAAGCAGCTGTCGCTGAGGTCGAGGAGTGTGAAATACATACACACATATGTACATATAGAAGGGATTGTATAACAAAACTTAGTTCCTTGGGAAAAGGAAACTCTCTCGCTTTTCAACTTTAGTGTTTTTGGCTTTCATGCACTTGACAGGACTGCCTTATATATGAAAATAGAGGACTGCCTGAATACAAGGTTATAAGCAAGGGGTCAGCAAAGGTATAAGGAAACCAACAAAGGAAGGTGCCATGAGCATAGGGAAACAATTGAAAGAGAATTCTCATGTTGTCTGTTTCTGAATTTCAGGATGCCCATCTGCTCAGAGTACCTTTTTTGGCTTATGGATGTTTTCCAATGATTTTACTGTCAGTTCTGAATATTTTATTACCTAAATTTGATTTTTGTCTTCTTTTCTCATTTTAGTTTACTGGAACCATTTCTAATACATACAAAGTGGATGTCAGTTTAAAAAAACACTTAGAGAGTATAGTTACAAGGTAACACTGTGGAGATTAGACATTACAATTTATTGTATTTTTTATTTTAAAAGGATGTTGTATTTTTATTGTTTTCATATTTCAAATCTCTTAAAAGTGCTTGATTTTAAATCTGTTTTATTTATCTAGTTCTTTTTCTTTCTTTAGATGTTCAGAAAATCATTGGTAAAGATGTTTGAAAATAAAGGATTGGACTGCATCTTTTTAGAAACTAATATGAGCTCCAAGAAACAGTATCACATGGTTTATGAATGCATTCCTCTCCCAAAGGAAGTGGGTGATATGGCTCCCATCTATTTTAAGGTATTTATAGGTAGTCTTTGCATGCATACTTATTTTTGCTACAGTTCTGTTTTATGAATACAGTTGTCTTTATTAATTTTCTTCTATATACTTATATCAAATTTTATATCATATTATAAAATGAAGTAAAGCACAGAATGTTTTGCTGTGTAAATTTCTGTTAAAAGAAATTTGGAATTTTGACCTTTTAAAAGCATGCTTATTTAGAGACATGAATATACTATCAAATGGTAACATAATTTCTGTTTTCCCATTTCTCAAATGAAATTAGGATTTTACCTTGAAGTACTTTCAAGTAAAAATTATAGTCATTACTCTAGAAAATTGATTATTGAAATACTCTGGAGCCAAAGATAATAACAAACAATGCAGATTACATTGCTGAGGCAAGTTATTGCCATAAGTTTTAATATTTAATATTTCATCATACTATTTGTAAAAAGAAAAATTTCTAACTTTGATATACATTTTTGGACATATAATAATGACTAGAGTTTGTAACCAACTGTTATTTACATTATTGAAACAGCTTTTACCTAATATGTGTTTGATGCTGATCTGAATACAATATAATTTTTAGACTAATACAAATACATAAATGTAGAACCATATATGAAATACTAACATGTCCAAAGAAAAACGAAGATAATGTTTTGTGAGCTGGTGTAAGAAGATTGTATCTGATATGTTTACATAGTATGGGATGGTAAGATTTATTAATATGAACACTAAGGTCCAATAAAAAGGTATAAAATCTGTCAAGGGTTATGAGTTGACAAAAACTACTTTATCTCTAGAAATCTTTAAAGACAGTCTGATTATTTGATAAGAATAATTATTCTATTACCCTAATTACCCTGATTTTCTCATTATACATCATATGCCTGTATCAAAACATCACATGTACCCCAATATATAACTATTATGTACCTATAATAATTAAAATAAAAATACTTTTTATCAGTGTAAGAGAACAAGCCAGACAATCCCAAAGATCAATGCCAGTCCTTTGTTAACCAAATTTGGTTGAGAAAGAGCTTATTATATTTTTTTCAACATGCCTTTTTTTGATACTTCCTCAGTAGAGTCCTATGTGGTTGTGATGAGAGGCATTTGAAATATATGGCCTGACATAGAGCAGCCACTGTTGCTCATGTGGAGTGACATAAACGGTATCTCTTAGAATGGTGTATCACTTTTCTCTTTTACCTCAAACCTTTTATGATCATTACAGATGCATTTATATTGAATGTGCTATATTATGTCAAGCCCAGCAACCCATACCTATTAAATAGGGAATAGCACTATATGTGATGTATTTAAATTATGTTTATTTGAATGTTAATTTTATCTTCAAAATTTGCTTCATTAATAAGTATATTATAAAAACAATGAGGTTATTTTATATTCATCACCTTGGCTTTTCTTTATATTAAATATTTCTTTACCATGAATAGTAGTCATATCGCTTAGCCTAGAAAGTCTTATAATTCTGTTTATATATATTTTCTTCCTACTTTTTAAAATTTTTATTTTTAATTACAAATTGACAAATTACAGTTCTATAAATTCTGACATCAAAAACATAAAATTTGTATATGGAGGGGAAGAAAAGTATAAAGTGGTATACAATTAACATCAAGTTGTTATAAGCTTGAAATAGACTGTTATGTTTCCTGCATTTTTAAAAAACCGGCTTTATTTTCTAGAGCAATTTTTTTCATACATTTTTACTTCTATTCTATATGGGCAGAAATAGTTCAAGTCCTTGGTTGTCAGAAAGCATATAAATTACTCTGTTGCTGTTTGGAAGAAGAGCAGTAAAACTAAATGAATTAATTTTAGTAGATTTCTATGAATGCAGCAAGGAATTTGTGAACTTTTATGTTCACATAAAAGCATAAAAGTTTACATAAATTATGTTTAATATTAAAATTGCTCAGTCTTATTAAGGATTGTCGTGTAACGCTGAGCTGAAGTTAGCACAGGAGTTAAGGATGAGTAAAAGAATATTATCTTTGGCTAAAGGTAGAATTTAAAAAAAATAAATTCCAATTTTAAATAACTAAAATTAAAGCCTTAATCTATTCAGAATAATGGCATACCTTGTTATACCTCATAATTAATTCACAGTATTACTTTGTTTTTAAGTGTCTCTTTGTATTTGCTTATGTATCCTTCTTTCATTTAACAAATGACTATTTCTTAGAAAGCCATAATGGAATCTGATGAAGAGTGGTCCATGAACAAGAAGTTGATTGATCTTTCTTTAAAAGATATCAGAAAGTCTGTAAGTAACAATTATTTTCTAATATAAAAAAATTATCCTAGTGTTCAGGATCTTCATTAATTTCTACATCTTAGTTGAGAAGGAGACCATTTGGCTGAGTGACTAACGGTGAAGTATCTAATTCCACAAATAAAGAAATCCTTACTTTCATTCTAGCTGGTCTAGAAAATGCTTATTCATAGAGGGTTTTTATTTGTTCAAATGAATGTTTCTTCCTGACCTTCAGCCTACTGCCGTAATAATTGTCTATGTCAGTTGTTAGACTCTGCCATGAGAGCTCCTCTGGGGGGCTCCTCAGCCCCGTGGGATAGGTGGTGAGAGGGGCCTTCTTGTTACTAGAGTTATACTGAGAGAATCATTTTCTTAGAGGTTCCATTTGGAATTTGGAATGTATTTTCTTTTTCTTATACAAAGGTTCCCTGTTATATTCCTATGAAACAGAAGTTGAGTTAGATTATGGGTTCTTTTGGAAACTTGCCTAATCATGTTTCATAGTTTAAGCATGATTTGCACATCAGCTTTCAGATACAAGTTACACATAAGTTTAGTACTTTTGTAATGATCTTTCTCTTTTCTAGAAATAAAAATTAAATGGAATAGAGATTTAAGAGAAGTGTAGGTTCCTTTTTGTTTTTCTAGTCAAAAAGTAATTTATTCTACAAATATTTATTGAGTATCTGCTATTTAGCAGGCACTGTACTAAATGCTTCTTGGACATAGTAGGAAAAATAGAAAACATTCCGGCCTTTATGGAGCTTATATTCTAGTGCTGGGTTGGTAACTCAAGCCTGCCTGCTAAATCCAGTCTTCTGCCTATTTTTGTAAAGGAAGTTTTATTGGAACACAGCCACACCCATTTTGTTTATGTATTATTTATGGCTGCTTTCATGCTACAAGAGCAGAGTTGAGTAGTCTCAACAGAGACTGTATGAACCGTGATGCCTAAAATATTTTATTATGTGGCCCTTTTACAGAAAAAGTTTGCCAGCCTCTGTTCTAGTAGATGTCACTAGAATATTTCTCCTCATTGCTTCTTTTGGAAAACCAAGCCCCTATAATATGTCATGTGAGTGATAGGATTCCTTATTACACTTATTGTATCTCAGCCAAAAGCTTCAAATTTCATTGCATTATTGAAGATACATAGTTTTAATTCAGGGGTAAAACATTGTCTGTATTTTCTCTTCCCTTTCTGGTGAATTGGGCCAGATAGCATGCTAAAAAATAAAACAAAATAAAAAAACCTCTAAATGTCCTGTTTACTTCTCTCCCTTATGATCCTATAGAATAAAGTATTTAATGTACATACATCTTTTATACCTGGGTTTTCACTTTATTTTTTATTTTTTATTTATTTTTTTATTTTGGCATATTATGGGGGTACAGATTTTAAGGCCATACTACTAAGTGAAATATCCCAAGAATGGAAAAACAAGCACCACATATACTCACCAGCAAACTGGTATTAACTGAGCAGCACCTAAGTGGACACATAGGTACTACAGTAATAGGGTATTGGGCAGGTGGGAGGGGGGAGGGGGCGGGTAAATCCATCCATAATGAGTGAGATGTTCACCATATGGGGGATGGTCATGCTGGAAACTCAAACTTGTGGGGGCAGGGGGGAAAGAGCATTTATTGGGTTTTCACTTTTGGTATCATAATTTAAATATTCTTTCAGAACACAATTTTAATGGCAGTTGGGAGAAAAAATTAGGTCACTAAGTATGAATGTCTGATTTCCTTAAGTACTAAGTTTGACAGTTGGTACCTTTTGACGTTTTCACTTTGACACTTCTTGTTTTATTTTTATCATGAAGGTACATCCTCATTCCTTCAAACGTATGGTTTTTGGCTTGTGATTATCTTCCAAATTTTTTTTAGAGCAATTTTTGTGAAACTATGGATAAGTAAAAAATTCTTGTTATTTTTGAATATGAGTTCCATTGTGGAACTGATGCTGTGCAGACAGGTCGAAATATCAACGAAGAGTTTGGGAGGGATGTGGCTAATGAATACATAGTATGTCAGTGATTCCAGACGTTTCATTCTGGGATTTTAATCTTGAAAATGAGCCATGTGGGTGACCTGAGACCAAGGTGGATAATGATGAGCAGAGAGCTGTAATGGAAGCGAATCCATTTCAACCTATGTGTGAATTAGCAGCAAGGTTTGACGTTACTATTTGAACAATTTTGAACCATTTGAAACAAATCAGCAAGGTAAAGAAGCTGGATAGATGGGTACCACGTAAATTAAACAAGTGTCAGAAGAGAAATCGTCTCGAAGCTTGCCTTTCTTTGCTGTTACCACATAAAGACAAACCATTTCTACACCATATTTTTTTACATGTGATAAAAAATAGATTCTTTTTGACACTCGCAAGCATTGGGCACAATGGTTACATAAAGATGAAGTGCTGAAACACAGTTCAAAGCTGCATATTCGTCAAAAAAAGCTAATGGTGTCTGTTTGGTGGTCCGGCGCTGGCATTATCTGCTACAGTTTACTGAAACCTGGTCAATCGATTACAGTGGATGTCCACTGAAACCAGTTGTATGAAATGATGAAGATACTTGTGATTAAGTAGCTGAGATGGGTCAATACAGACAGGCCAATCCTCTTGCATGACAACACTAGGCCACATGTCCCACAAACAGTGCTGCTCAAACAGTGCTACAGAGGCTGGAGTTGGAGACTCTCTGTCATCCACCGTATTCATCAGACTTTGCAACAACTGACTACCACTTCTTCCAGGAAAGTGGACCACTTCTTGCAAGGAAAAATATTCAATTCTCAAAAAGAGGTAGAAAACGCCTTTCACAATTTCATTGCCATTCATTCTCTAGGCTTCTTTGCTGCTGGCATAAATAAGCTACCATTAAGATGGCAAAAGTGTGTGGATACTTTAGGCGCAAACTTTGATTAATTGTACTGCTTTTTGTTTGAGATATAATAAGCTAAACTTTTTATTGAAAATTGGACATTTCATATTTAATGACCTAATATTTCAAAGCAGAAAATTTAGAAGAAATGTATTATTTCCCATTTGCTACAATCTATATGTATTTTTCTTACTGGCGAACCATCTAGTGCCTATTATTTGTTTGTTTTTTAAAACCTGGATGAGTACCTGAATTCAATAGCCAGGAAATCTTAATGTTTTAAGTTAACCTATATGGAAAGTAAGAAACAGATACAGATCTTAGTAAGAATGGCAATTGTATATTCAATTTCAAAATGTTTCAGAGATAGCAACAATTCCCTTTACTAGGCCATCATGTAATCTTGTATCTGAGACTATGTGAGAGCCACAGTAGATGGAGAATGAACCAGATGACCTCTTAAAGTCCCTCTTAGCTTTAGGATTCTATAATTATGTGGTTGGAATTGTGAAGAGAACTTGAGTGTAAGAATAATTCCAAAGGAGGTCACTTTTTAGGTTAACAAGCTTTCCAGTATCTTTTTAAAATGATAAAAGTATTCCTGAACATGAAGTGACAAATATTAAGCTTTTTAACATTATTATTACTTCTGAAAGGACCTCATCATACTTCATTTATAAGTCTTATGTCCTTAGGAATCTCATAAAGTATTTTGCCTACATCATTAGGGGTGGGCTGATGTTTTCATTGAGTAAATTTTTTTTTCTTTTTCTTTTTTTCTGTATTCTTTTTTTTTTTTTTTTTCGGCATTATGGGGGTACAGATTTTAAGGTTTCAATAAATGCCCTTCCCCCCCCACAAGTCTGAGTCTCCAGCATGACCATCCCTCAGATGGTGCACATATCACTCGTTATGTATGTATATACCCCCCCCCAATACCCTATTACTGTAGTACCTATATGTCCACTTAGGTGCTACTCAGTTAATACCAGTTTGCTGGAGAATATATCTGGTGCTTGTTTTTCCATTCTTGGGATACTTCACTTAGTAATATGGGTTCCAGCTCTAACCAGGAAAATATAAGATGTGCTATATCACCATTGTTTCTTAGAGCTGAATAGTACTCCATGGTATACATATACCACATTTTATTAATCCATTCTTGGATTGATGGGCACTTGGGCTGTTTCCACAGCCTTGCAATTGTGAATTGTGCTGCTATAAACATTCGAGTGCAGGTGTCTTTTTTGTAGAGTGTCATTGGATCATTTGGGTAGATGCCCAGCAATGGGATTGCTGGATCAAATGGTAGATTCACTTGTATCGCTGTAAGGTATCTCCATATTGCTTTCCACAGAGGTTGAACTAGTTTGCAGTCCCACCAGCAGTGTAGGAGTGTTCCTCTCTCTCCACATCCACGCCAGCATTTGTTATTTGGAGACTTTTTGATAAAGGCCATTCTCACTGGAGTTAAGTGATATCTCATTGTAGTTTTGATTTGCATTTCCCTGATGATTAGGGATGGTGAGCATTTTTTCATATGTTTGTTGGCCATTCTTCTGTCTTCTTTAGAAAAGTTTCTGTTCAAGTCCTTTGCCCACTTTTTAATAGGGTTATTTGATTTTTTCTTGCTGATTTTCGTGAGTTCTAAGTATATTCTAGTTATCAGCCCTTTATCAGATACGTAGGATGCAAAAATTTTCTCCCATTCTGTAGGTTGTCTGTTTACTTCCTGTTCATTGAGTAAATTTTTATAATAGAGATTCACATAGTTGTATTTCATTTTGATTTTTTTTAATTCATGTTTTTCTTGGCTTTCCCTTTTCTGCCAATCTTTTTACTTTTGCTGAGTCTTTTGATTTCTTTGCATTGTGGTGTGAAGTTGATGGAAATAGACAGGAGAAACAGATCTGAATGTTCAATGTAGAGGAATTGCATAATATAGTATGTCAAAAAAAGTGGTCGTTTAACAAGGCTATTTCATTGAGATTTTTATGAGACTTCTTCCCGAGGGTTTCATTTCATTTTATTTTATTTTAAATTTCAAAATATTAAGAGGGCACAATTTTTTTTTTACATGGATACCTTGTATAATGCATGTTTAAATCAGGGCTTTTATTGTGCCCCTTACCAGAATAGTGTTCATTGTACCTGATAGGTAAGTTTTTACCCTTTACCCCCTGCCAACCTCCCCCCTTCTTGACTTTCAATGTCTTTTGCATTTCTTTGTGCCCATGTGTGCCCACTGTATAGCTCCCAGTTATTAGAGAGTGTATGTGGTGTTTGTTTTCCCATTCCTGAGATACTCACTTAGAGTAATGGTCTCTGGTACCATCCAAGTTGCTACAAAAGACATTATTTCGTTCCTTTTATAGCTGAGTAGTACTCCATGGTATATATTAATATATACCACATTTTCTTTATCCACTCATGAATTAATGGGCACTTAAATTGATTCCATATCTTTGCAGTTCTATATTGTGCTGTGCTAAACATTCAAGTGCAGGTGTCTTTTTAATAAAATGACTTCTTTCACTTTGGGTAGTTACCCAGTAGTGGGATTGCTAGATTGAATGGTAAGTCTACATTTATTCCTTTGAGTAATCTTCATACTATTTTCCATAGAGGTTGTACTAATTTTCAGTCCCACTGAAAGTATATAAGTGTTCCTTTCTCTCTTCATCTGTTGTTTTTTGACTTTTCAATAATGGCTACTCTGCTAGGGGGAAGGTGGTATCTCAGTGTGGTTTTAACTTGCATTTCTCTGATAGTTAGTGATGCTAAGCATTTTTTCATGTTTGTTGGCCATTTATCTTCTTTTAAAAAATTTTTATTCATATCTTTTGCCTATATTTTGATGAGATTTGTTTTCTTTCTTGCTGATTTGTTTTGAGTTCTTTGTACTATAGATTCTGGATTAGCCCTTTATTGGATGTATGATTCATGAGTATTTACTCCCATTTTGTTGGTTGTCTATTTACTCTGTTATTTCCTTTGCTGTATAGTAGATTTTTAATTTAATTGAGTCCCATTTATTTATTTTTGTTGTTGTTAAATTTGCCTGTGGTCTTATTCATAAATTGTTCACCTAGGCCAATGTTTAGAAGAGTTTTTCCTATGTTTTCTTCTAGAATTTTTATGGTTTCATACTTTACATTTAAGTCTTTATTCATCTTGAATTAATTTTTGTATGTGATGAGAGAGAGGGCTTTACACCTGGTGATCTAGTTTTGTTTGCAAAAATATTCCAGTGGAGCCTTCAGTCCTTTTTCTTTGACCACCAGGTTTGCACAACACATTCTTGTATGGGAGATAGAAATGAAAGTAATAATTTTCTATATCCAAATACTTTTCTATGTGCCAAGAATTGGGCCGAACACTGTACATACATTGTCCTATTTGATCCTCACAGCAAACTCTGAACTCTTTGTATTTCTCTTGAAACTCAGAGATGTTAAATAACTTGTCAGAATAAGAGCTGCAATTAGAACCTTGTCTGTCTCTTTTTTACTTTATTTTTTCCTAATTGTCAAGGTCATACATGATAATTATATTTAAGTATATGGAAATATAGAAAAATTAATGCCACAAACTAGTAACCTGTTTCTCTGCATTTAATGTTACATAATATTTTGTAAACTGATTTTTATTTGTGCTCTTTCTGTAACATCAGTGACTTAGTATAAGCCCTAATTTTAATTGCTTTATATTTCAAGATGATCAGTCTTTCCACCATACCATACTGAGCCCTTCTAGGTCATGCCTTCTTGAGGACACAAAACAAAAATTCATACAGTTAAGTAGCAGCAATATGTCATTCAGTGCTCCAATGAGTCAATATTGGCCATATGACGGGATTAGAGAAGAGAAATGTTACTATAAATTGATCCACTTGGATAATTTCTAGTGACAAATTTATGGCTTCAAAAAAATACTTACAAGGACATAAAATCTGCTTAACTGATAGAGAAAGCAAGAAATGGCCTTTTCCAGTCAAAATATAGTTTAAAGTACTGTGTGTGTGTATATGTCTGTGTGTGTGTGTGTTCATGTGTGTGTGTAGATAGAAAAGGAGGGAGGGAGGGAAGAAGGAATAATGGGAAGGATAAAATAATAGAGAGTTAATCCTGGAGATATTTTGAAATAAGTTGGTAAACTAAATATTACTATACCCATCTCACCAGCTAATAAAAAATTATGGTTTTTCTTATGTAATTTATCTTTGATAAATATATAGTAGTAAAAATTCAGGGACATCGTAAACAGAGCTCTAAGAAGTATGTGGCCAAGCCCTGCTTCCTGTTCTCCTTTGTGAGTAGAATATAAGAAAGCATATTCTTATTCTTTATTTGTGTGATCCAAAGAAAATTATTCTGCAGTTGTATTTAAAAAAACGTTAAGTACCTTTTTTTCCTGGTGTTCCCCAAGGACAGAAAAATAATTGGTTTTGATTATAATTGCTAGATATGATGAGGAACTATCTGGCTGAAAGCCTACCAAAATGAAATCTTTTACTCAGAAAGTTAGGTCATTGCTTAAGTATCTCTAGAATTGGAAATACATTTTATGTTTGTCTTGAGAGATGCATAATTACTGTCATGCCAGAGAGCAGGAATAAGGATTAAGGATAATTTTCTGATTTTGTGCTGTGTTTCATATGTGCTCTGTTTATTTAGATACCCAGAGGTTTACCTTATTTCTCTGTGGATTTTGGCCTCCAAGGAGGATTTGCCCATGTCATTGAAGATCAGCACAAATTCCCTCCGTACTTTGGAAAGGTATGCTCATAAATTTGATAACATTCCAGAGTTTAGCAATTTGGTATCACTTTTCTTTTAAAGAGAAATCAAAACTGTGGCCATGATGTATAATGAGGTTGATGAGTACTGCTCCACCAAATTTTTAGAGATAACCTAGCAACTGTTAATAAAAAAGAAAAAATCCTAGAATATCGATAACAGAGTCACGAATGTCACTTTGGAGCCAAAGTTTCTTGACATAGTCAACAGTGACTATAATGGTTTTTTTGGTTTTTTTTTGAGTCAGCTAGTATTGTGTTGAGATTGATGATAATTGCTAATACTTATGAAGGGCTTACAGTTTGCCAGCTACTGTTCTAAGCTGTCATTTAATGATCGTAATAATTCCATTGTGTAGATATAACTTTTCACTTTATAGATGAAGAAACTGAGCTACACAGAGATTATATAACTTGCCCAGGGTTATACACTAATAAATGACAGAAACATGGGTACATATGGTCATGGTTGACTAGAGAACAAATTATATCACCTCTTCATTTATAGTTAAGCAAAATACAGTCCAAGAATACATGACTCATTGTACACTGATAGTTTCTGGACAGATATTAGAGAACAGATCTTTTGATTGCCAATATGTCCTTTCTATTACCACAGATTGCTTCCTAGGGGTATAGTTTTTAAATGAAAGGTCTATGGAGTGTCCGGGAAGTGTATAAGTTAATGTCAGGAACTAGAATGAAATTAATGTAGCAACTGAAACAGTCAAAAGAAACCTGGGCAATAATACCTCTAGGAAGTGACCTTTTAGTCTAGTGTAGGTCAGGCCTTTCCACTCATACTGTCCCTATGTAGCCAGTTCCTCTAAATTAAAAGGTCCTTGATGAATTCTGCTTGAGATTCCCTCTTCCTCACCCTACTCCCGTTTCTCCGCACTTTCCTCTCCTGTCTTCCTGCATAAGACATCTTCCACAATGAGTACGAGTGTGCCAAGAAGAATCTCAACTCCAGAGGTTTATATTCAAAACTTTTTACACTGTTGTCTTTAATTGGTTAACTGGACACCCAAAGTCATTTGCATCTTTGAATTTTTGTAATGTATTACAGAAACCTGTTTGAGAAATTTTCAGAATTTTTTTTCAGAGTTAACTAGAAAGAATTTTTTTTTCCCTACTATGAAAAATCCTGCTGTTATTCAGTAGAGCTTTATAACTTTAGGTTCTATGACTGTGGATTTATTTTTTTCAAAATCTTGGTTCTAGGGAAAAGGCAGTAAAATATCTATTTTTTCAAGTTGTGTAAATTTAATTGGGAGATTGCCTTTCCTTCACATATTATGCATATGCATTATGGTTTATGATACTGTTTTGAGGTGAAAAAGAAAATTTCCCCAGCCAGCATTATGTCCCTGAGCCATTTTCTTCAAAATCTGTTTGTCAAGAAATAGCCTGTGGGTCCAAGAATTCCCTTTGGCCCCCTAACTAAGCAGTTGTTCAGAGAGCAAGAAGGGATTATTGGGATGGTCTCTTTCCATTAACAGCTGCTTCAGTAACAGAACAAGAATCAATCCTATATGGTACACATAAGACAAACTGAATGTTTTATAGAGACAATTTTAGGTCAACTTTTATCAGCCAGGTGTTCTTGAACTACATTGCTTACTTGGAACTCTTGAAATACATCTAAATTTGCCCCATTTCTCTTGATGTCTTATATGATCTACTCTTCCTGTCGGCCCCTTTCTTTCCCTTGCTTATTGGTAGGCCCCTTTCTTTCCCTTGCTTATTTCCCTGAAGCTTCTTCTGATTTAACTAACAAATAGAATGTGTTTTCTTTTTTTGAGTCTCCAAATGGTCTGCTTTAGCACTTACCTTATTCTGCTTTATAAGACAGTCCTCTGTATAGCTCAGTTGTTATTCTGGCTCCCACCACAGCTCCATGTTCTGTTTTAAGATCTCTGAAGACAGATAGCTATATGTTAGTTATCTTTGTATCCCCTATGTCATATGGCATTTGCTTGTGCATAGTAGGTCCCCATGGTATATTTGTTAAGATGAAGAACTTAGATCTGAGAGATTATAAGATTTGTCCAAGATCTCATCACGCCGTCTAGTGGAGCTTGACTGGAGACACAGAATTTGACCCTTAGTCCAGTGTTTTTCTATATTACTATACTGCCCTACCTCTAAGCATTATAAATCTCATTCATATCTTCCTATACATGGATACTCACATGTATAACTTTGATTAATTTCTATAGCTAACAGCACAAGAAGAAGATCATGAAGGAAATAATCTAGAATAATAAGCAGATAACCAAAAAGCCAGGGCTTGAGAATGTGACTTTTTAAATGAAGATGATTTGTAATTTTTAATTCTAGGTTTATTTAGATTAGTATTAAAATATGATTTTGTTTCCTGAAAAAAAGATCTACGGCTAATAGTGGAAGAAACTGGTTTATAAATATACTGGGTAGCAGAGAGAACATTAGCCTGAGATTCAATTCCAGTTGAGCAACAAAGTTAATAATTGCTACAGGATGACACACTTTTTCTCCAAACTATATGCCAAATTGCTAATGTGGCCGAAATTAATTAAATTTCACTTTGTCTTCCTCCCCTTTGCTACAATCTGGTAGATGTGCTAATAAGCAACACAATGGACAAATGGCTTCACATGAGACACAGCTAGCCAGTGCTCCTAGAATCACAGGGTTTGCATAGCTTGAAATAATTGAAAACAAGATTTTTTTTTTACTTGAAACTAGTATTTATACAGTTTTTGAACATTGTCATGGAGAACTCCTTAACGTTATATTTAATAGCAGAATAAACAGAAATAGTTTCATTCTTGTTTTCATTATTATTTATACATGCATGTGTTTGTATTTTTTTTCATTCTTTAAAAGGAAATCATTGGTGGGATGCTGGATATAGAACCAAGACTTTGGAGGAAAGGGATCCGTGAAAGCTTTGAGGATCAGAGGAAGAAAGCACTGCAGTTTGCTCAGTGGTGGAAACCATATGACTTCACTAAAAGTAAAAAATGTTGAGGTGTACCTTTCATTTTTAGTTTTCTCTTCAAATCCCATTCAGTTTTATTTCCATCATATGTAACTACTCAGCTGACTCTCAGGTCGTAGAAAGAGAGTCACAGCAACAGACTGCTCTGGATCTCTGACAACTGTGCATTGTGCAGTTGTGTCGTTTTCCTCCCCACCTGCCCCTGTGGACTTCATTTTAGTGACTTCCATATGTATATATTGCATGACCTGCTCACATTCCTGTTGTACCTACTTCTTGGTGTCTGAACTATTCAGTTAATTGAGAGAAGGGCTTTTCTGAAGGGTTATTTGGGAAGCATAGAAAATCCTTGGTTCAGAGGGAAATGGGTCTGCTTCAAGGTTAAGGCCATTTCCTGGCTTCTTTTGCATTTTTTAGAACAAGACTCGGTGTATTTAGTAATAATTGACATTTCTTTCCATAGGATTTTATAGAAGAGATCTTAATTTTCTACCAGTAGCATATAGTATCACTATTGTTCTTTTTGTTAAAAGAAAAAGAATGTCTCAAAAAATTAAATGTATTAAAAAATTAAATGATAGTAAAAATATAAAATATTCACAATTCAAGTTTGTTTTTATTTCTGGAGTTTTAAATAGTGTCTTTGAATTTCGGTGGTCCTAAAAGTAATTGTTTCAAATAACATTATTTAGAGTTGTTTAGGGTTTGTATGAAAGTTAAAATTTGTAGTCAAATCATTATTTTTGAGTTGTATTGATTATCACAAAATCTTAAGTAATGAGAATATTATCAATTTCAGGAACACATTGTCTTGTCCCTCACTGATCCCAGGTACTTAATTTTTATTTGTTCTGAATACTTAGTGTCAAGAGAAAACCCTATATTTTTAAAATATAGTTATGATATGAGTGCTTCTACTTTTTTTATATGGAAGATATTGTTATAGTAACTTTTTCTCAAAGATGTTGGTTTTTTGGAAGCTGAATCTTGACATTTTGTCATGAAATGTTTAATATCTAGAATCAATGTGAAACATACTCCACAGTTATTCATAACCCTATACATTTATTTTTAATATCAGCATCTTATTATTTCCTTAATATGTTAAAAAGTGAAATGCTTATGTTCTATCTATAGTTTTTCTAATTTCACAGGTAAGTTGAATTTAATGGTTTCAGGTTTTCAACATTTGCAAGTTATATTTAAGTATATAAATGAAATAGATGTTTGACAGTATTTTATTTTTTGCTGTTTTCAAACTCTTGGCTTTGCTCCAAAATCTTAAAGGATTCTGTAACATTCATTTATTCAAGCAGTGATTTAATGAATATTTGTAGAGCACTATGTTATACACTGGTAGTACAAAAATAAAAAGTACTAGCCCTACCCTAAATTATTTTATAGTTTAGTGGAGAAATAGACATGTACATAAATATTTACAGGGCAGTATGACAAGTTCTAAGATACATGCCAAGTATATTTGAGTGCAGTGCCAAAGGACTATTTCATATGTCCCTTCAGCTGATGACCTTACTTCCTATCTTACTGAGAAAATATTAATGGAAGCAAATAGAAGGGAATTTCTATCACATCTATCAATATACCTCATTTATCCCATGTATTTTATTTCCTTTTCCTAAGTATAGATAAATTATTTGATTGTTTTTATCTAGGGCCAATACACTCATTTATATACTGGATTTTATTGCCTCTCACCTACTGAATTGTCCCTTCTCTCTCTGTATTGTTTTTTCTCCTCTTTATAGATTATTTTTATTCATGTACAAAAACCATTATATAATATATCAACAGCAAACCCTGTCATCACATCCCCCTCTAGCCATTTCTCCAGTTGACAGGAAAATTCATTTTAAAAACTCTTTTTCCTCTCTCTCCATTCTTCTCTTATTCTCTGTACAGTTAGGCTTCATCCTCATCATTCTACTAAACTGTTCAGGTCAAGATAATCAATGACCTTCCACATTGGCAAATCCAATAATTAATGCTCAGTGCTCATCTTTGTCTATCAGCATTAGCAGTGACATACTTGATCACTTTCCCTTCTTGAAGCACTTTCTTTACTTTGGTTTTAGAACACTTTTTTATTGATTCTTCTTCCTTACTAGTTCTATTCTCTGTTGCCTTTGCTGGTTCCTCTTTATCTGCTCAACCTCTGAATGTTAAAATGCCCATTTTCAAACCTCTCCTTTTTTCTGCTGCACCCACTCCCAAGGTAATCCCATCATGAAAATCATCTTAAATACCATTTTTTAAAGTTGGCTCATTTATTCAATAAATATTTGAATGTCTTCGATATGCCAGTCACTGTTCTATATGGAGAGGCTACATTAGTGAATAAAAACAAACTCTCTGCCTTTGAGGAGTTTAAATTCTATCGAGAAAACAGACAATGAACATTAGACAAAATAAATGAATTATCTAGAAAATGCCAGTGAATGTTTGAATATTATATTAGTGGTGTGTAAATCATTTATTAATATCTCTTTAGTAAAACGATTAAAAGACAATACTATTAACATAATAGCTACAATGATATGTTAAGTAATATACAATTAAAGATATAAATTGTGATATTGAAAAACAAAATGAGAGCAGTAAAAGTATTTTTTTATATGTACTCAAAGTTAAGTTATCAGCTTAAAATAACCTGTTATAGCCATATGTTTTATTTAAGCCCCATGGTAATCACAAAGCAAAAACCTATGGAGATACACAAAGGATAAAAAGTAAGGAATCAAAGCATACCACTAGAGAAAAATCATCTAATTACAAAGGAAGACGACAAGAGAGGAAGAAAGGAACAAAGGATCTATAAAACAATCAAAAAACAATTAACAAAATGGAACTAGTAAGTCCTTACCTATCAGTAATCATCTTGAATATAAATGACTTAAAATCTCTAATTAAAGACTTAGAATGGCTGAATAGATGTTTTAAAAAAAGACTCCATTATATGCTGATTACAAGAAACTGACTTCACCTTTAAAGATGTACATAGATTAAAGGTAAATGGTAGGAAAATATATTCCATGCAGATGGAAACCAGAAGAACTAGAGTAGCTGTACTTAAGATAAAATAGATTTTAAGTAAATGTGAAAAGAAACAGGTCATTATATAATGATAAAAGGGTCAATTTATCGAGAAGATAGAACAATTATAAATATATATGCACTCAACTTCAGAATGCTTAAATATATAAAAGGAAATATTAATAGATCTGAAGGGAGAGAGACTGCAATACAATAATAGTTAGGGACTTCAATACCTAGGGACTTCAATTGTCCTTTCAACAATAGACAGTTCAGCTAAAAAAATCAATAAGGAAAAGTTGGAATTGAATTATACTTTAGACCAAATTGATCTAATAGATATATACAGAACATTATATCCAACAAATGTAATACACATTCTTTTCAAGCACACAGGTAACTTTCTCTAGGATAGATCATTTTAAGCCATAAAACAAGACAACAAATTTAAGAAGATTGAAATCATATCCAATATCTTTTCTAATCTCAGTGGTATGAAACTAGGAATTAATAATTAGAATTTCAATTTAGAATATGTGGAATTAAATAAAATTCTCCTGTATAACCATTGGGTCAAAGAACAAATTTAAAGGGTTATTAAAATATATCTTGAGGTAAATAAAAATGGAAACACAACATGTCAGAACTTACGGGCAGCAGCCAAAACAGTTCTAAGAATTTTGTAACAATAAACATCTACATCAAAAAAGAAGAAAGATCTCAAATATACAACCTAACTTTACACCCCAGGGAACTAGAAAAAGAAGAACAAACTAAGCCCAAATTTAGTAGAAGAAATAAATGAAGTAGAAACTTAAAAAAATAATAGAAAAGATCAACAAAAATAAGTGTTTTTTAAAAGGTAAAATCAATAAACATTTATCTAGATTAAGAAAAAGAGAGAGAAGACACAAAATCAGAAATGAAAGGGGAGACATTACAACTGATGCTACAGAAATACAAAAGATCATAGGGTATTACTATAAATAATATTATATGCCAACAAATTGGTAACCTCAAGGAAATGGATAAATTCCCAGAAACAGAGCCTGCAAAGCCTGAATCATGAAGAAACAGAAAATGTGATCAACCCAATAATGAGTAAGGAGATTGAATTGGTAATAAAGAGTTCTCTTATTTGTCATATATTAAGAGTGGTTTGTTAATGTCTGACATTATTAGTGCCTTTGTATCTTTGTCTTCCTACATCAGCTGTAGTTTTTGCCTTATAATAATTGCAGTGTTATTTGGTACATGTATATTCATGTATGTTATGTGTTTATTGTAAATTATGGATTTTATCATTAAAAGGGGATGTTTTTGGTCATAATTTTTGGTGTGGATTCTAATTTGCCTGATATGAGGATCACCTCACCTACTTTCCTATTGTTTTCATTTGCCTGATACTCCATTGCCCATCCTTTTATTTTTTTAGTCTTCATATATCCCTTTGTTTTTTATATACTGTTGGTCCTAGCTTTGTGAGCCAAATTGAAATAGGCTCAATGGGTGAATCAAGTCTATGCATAGTTATTTGACTGAATGTTTGGTTCCTAGTCTGTAGTAAAGTTTTATAATTATTATATTTGCTGTGTTATTTCTCTATGTAGTTTGTATTGGAATCCTTGAACTACTTCCTGTTGAATTAGGGCAACATTTCAGATGGTAGGTTTATACTTATGTATGTCATTGCAAAGCTTTGGAAAATGGCAGATTATCAGGCAAATAAAAAAATCATAAGTAACAATTACAATAGTGAGGATTGACAAGGCAAAATGAACTGTCGCCTTGTACACAATGTCTGATACAGGGCTGAGTTAGAAAAGAAACATGAGACCTCTGAGTGTAGAGCTATTAGTTGTACCCTGTAGGTGATCTGAGAGACTGGCTTCTGTAAATTCAGAAATCATATACAGCATCGAACAAGGTTTAGGAGGACAAACCCAACAGTAAGACAGATCGACAAGAAGCAGTAGCCCAGGAAAATCCTCACTAAGAAGTTATCTCTCTATTATATAGACAGAACAAATAATCAAAGAAAGGTTAGCAAAAATATTAACATTTTTATCTTTCCCTTTCTCTTAAACAGATACTTTAGGTTGCCTAAATGCTGGCCCTTCCACTGGAGTTTTTTTTTTTTTTTTTTTTCGTGTGGTACACCTCTTTATTCTGGTATCATGGACCAGGGTTTTACTTTTGACAGTTCCAATGAGGTGTGAGTTGTTAGGGGCACTTCATAGAGTCAGTCCCTTTTATTTCTCTGCTTCCAACTGGGACAGAGACCTGAAAGAGGCAAACTCACATATCATGGTTAGCACCTTATCCACTCATTTGACATATTTCTTTACTCTGATTTTTCACTCATAGTTATATTACCATACTTACCTCAGGGTGCTAGGAATGGTCTCCCATAAACTATTTCTTAGGGACTTAACTTAAGCCTGCTTCTGAGGGCTACCCTTATCCAGAGATGGGCAAGTAGTAGTATCCTAGCTCACTTTCGTGCATCAATTTCAGGATGCATGTAATGTCTGTTCTATATGTAGGACTTTGTTTCTTTGCTGGGTTACCTCAGATTTATTTTTTTATTCATTTATTCATTTTTGAGACAGAGTCTTACTCTGTCACCCAGGCTAGATACTGTGGCATCAGCCTACTTCACAGCAACCTCAAACTCCCGGGCTCAAATGGTCCTCTTGCTTCAGCCTTCTTTGTGAGTAGCTGGGACTACGGGCACACACCACTATGCCTGGCTAAATTTTTCTATTTTAAGTAGAGATGGGATCTTCCTTTTGCTCAAACTGGTCTTGAATTCCTGACCTTGAGTAATCCTTCTGCCTCAGCATCCCAGAGTGCTAGGATTACAGTCATAAGCCACCGTGCCTAGCAGTTCTGATTTAAAAGAGGGTCTATTATCACTTTGTATGGAGGAGGGGAGCCTATGAACATCTTGACAACCTGGGGGATCATTGAGTCCACCATGTCCAGGTCCTTGGAGAAAAGGAGACTTGTGAGTTTTCTGAGACTGGTGGGTGTGAACTGTGGAATAAATTAAGTGAGGAATTATTTAGGGCCAGGACTATGATGAGGGGAAGAAGGCATTTGCCTCAGGCACAAAATATAAGGGGACTAAGAAAAAAACAACAAAAAAACACCTTAGTAACCAAGATATCTTAATGCAATATTTTTAAAAAATTGATACCCAAAACCCAAAATTTTAGATAAAGGCAAGAGCAGTGCCAGCACTATGCAGAGTCATATTGGAGCCTGGGGCAAAAGGAAAAGTCAATAATTCAGATCCTGTTGTGGTTTCCAGTTGGTATTTTGTTTGTCATGGATCCTGGCCCTGGAATGATGTTACTGTCATTAAGAACTGAGATTTTCAGCATGGAAGAAAGGAGATACAGATATGAGATTCACGCAATTTAGTAAAAGCCCCATAGTCTGAATATAAATATAATTTATGATGCATTTTATCTTAAAATACATCAGTATAGCTATAAAATGATAACTATCACTATGTATACATATATTTACATGCATATATAGTTGATCCTCTTTATTTACATATTTGTATTTATGAATTATCCACTTGATAAAATTTATTTGTAACCCCCAAATCAATATTTATGGCACTTTTGTGGTCATTCATAGATATATTCAGAGTGGCAAAATATTTGAATCACCGGACACATAGGTTCCCAGGTGAGGTCAAAGTAACACTTTGCCTTTTTGCTTCAGTTCTCCTACTGTAAACAACTATCCTTTTTGTAGTTTGTGCTTGGCTCAGGCATGAGTCATAATGTTATTAATAGGTATAAGTTCAATGTTAATAAATAAACACTGTATATTAAAGTGTCTTTAAACAGAAACACATACAACACGTTATATATTGCGTGATTGACAAAAAATATTGTGAACAGAGGCTTGGCAAGAACCTAACTCTATTTCTCCTAGGAGCGATGGCTCAGTGTTCTCTAGTTCAGTGTTCTCTATACATGTCCATGTCCATGTGCATATGTATGCATGTACATGTGTATACATCTACTTCCTAGCCTGTCCACTGGTAAGGACTAGAAAAAATGGCAACCAAGGAACAATAAGCACTCTTAGTTGCTTGCCATTTGTGGTCTCTAAATTCTATTTCCCACTGAAAGGAACCAGACTTTTTGAAAAAATAGCCAATTCAAGGTCTAGGGCAGGAAATGTACAAGATGAGTTCAAGACATTTTGTACTGCCAAAAGCTATTAAAGACATAGAGTTGTATCAAAAGAACACAGACTCTTACCTGGTTAAGCTCCCACTAACCAAACAGGACAATTTGAGCATCGGTAAGAATAATAACTTCTATTGAGTCAAATACATCAGTTAGTTCAATGATATTTCAGTCAACAACAGACTGCATATAAGATGGTAGTCACATAAGATTATAATGGAGCTGAAAAGTTCCTATTACCTAGTATTTATTATGCTATACTTCTTATCATTATTACAGAATGATAAAATATCATTCTACTTCTATAAAAAAGGTTAACTGTAAAACAGACTGAGGCAGATCCTTTAGAAGGTATTCCAGGGGAAGGCATTGTTATCG